AAAATATTTGTATAACATTTCAAAAAATAAACAGTAATAAATATTTATCATAAGTATTCTATGCTGTCTAAGGTATTAGAATAACATACAAAGATTGTGGAGGTAATAAATTAAAATCTAATTTAAATTTTTTATTTTCAATTATAATTATTTCTCAAAAAATACATATATGACTTCGAGATTACGTAAGTGAAATTCTTAGAAATTCTTATTATTTCATAGAAATCCAGACAGAAAATATAAAATGAATATTACGTCGTAAATGCAATAATATATGTACGCATATGTTTATTCAAAACATCTGTATGATAATACAGCATGAATTTAATATTACATTATTAGAAATCCGAGAACTGAAAGTGGATGTACCTTTTAAATAGAATCTGTTTACTGGCGCCTCTATGTGCACGAAGCGTGCACATTGAACTACGTAGCCACAGATGCATTTTCGCAGATGCTATTCCGTGTTATATATTATTTGGTTCTATAAGACTTGCATATGTATGTTTTCGAGGCAATGTATATTGATTGAGAGAAATAAATATTTTATACAATTTATTTATTTCAAAAGAGAGTAGGAGTTAAAATGATATAAAGTAGAAATTACTGATTGACATTATTTTATCAATATAACCAAGTGAAATTAATCTATAGAAATGGAATATTTGGTGTGGGATTTTCACAAAACGAAAAACTAATAATAAAGAAAGGCCACTAAGGACATAACCATAGTTATTATTAGCGCTAGCAATAATTGTAGTTTGCTCTCAGTGGCCTTTTTTCATTACTAGTTTTTTATTTTTTTAATTATTTATTTTAAATATTGAGAGTCTGAAATTATTTCGTTCTGTTCAAATTTCACAAAGCTTTACATTTTTCAAACAAAAAAACCGTAGGTGCGTGAACTGTACGCGCCGTGCCGTTACATACACAAGTTGCAAAGGTCATCGCGCTATCATTTACGCAGCAACGTTCAGACAAGTGGTAATGCAAGACGCGCTTTACGTATCATTACATTACTTTCTACTTGATGATGTCTTCTTATTAATATTTTACAAATATCGCTTCCTTTCATGATTTCACTTTTACACTAACATCTGTATCGCGGCGACAGTAATTTATTCGAGTAGATACTTCGTGTGATTTATTCATTAAAAAACGAGAACCAAAACGAATAAAACGGGAAGTATAAATGAATATTATTTGTATGTAATGATACATTCAATTATAATCTACAGGAATCTCTGTATGAGAATAGATTATGATTATTATCTCTATATAATAATACTCGGTTTCAGATATATTTCATATTAACAAATCTCGTAATAATAAATTCTGTGATTTGAATTTTTGTTAGATCGAATGTAATTTGATTACTATTATTGAATTGTAAACACAAAATAATATATTGTATGTACTTGTTAAGTGATTCGAACAACGGAAAGATTTTTTTATGTTTTATTTAATCCATGAATAAACAGTTTTTTATAGTGCGAATCGTGAAGCTTATACGGTTTATGTGCATGTATATTGAAATTATCATATAAATATATACAGTGAGTGCAAAAAATATTCGTATAAAGAAAATATTTTTTAAAAAATCTTTATTTTTAAAAAATAAATATCATCCAGCGAGAAATGAATTATCGAATTGATGTCGAATCGATATCGATACAATGATTTCAACATCAATTTCGATGTCGATTTGATAATCATTTTTTACTGGGTAATTAACAATTTTTTCATAAAGAATAAAATAGACTGTATGTTTCTTAAAATTATATACACCAAAAAGATGTATATTAATTATAGAAAATAATCATCTGAAAAATAAACGAAAATTAAAAATTATATTGTTTGAATGTTCAAAAAGTATTCATAGAGTCGAGAAATTTAGCTTCTAAAATCAGGAATGCGAAGCTCGTTTGCTTATGTTAAAACAGAATATATTTCATTATAAAATTGCTAATTAATGTTTATTTTTTACAAATAAGACTTTTTTTTATAAAAAATTTTCTTTTACGAATATTTTTTTATAATATTTGCTCTCACTGTATATTGTATTTTTGATGCATACGCGATCGTAATTCCATTTTTTTTTTGCAAGTGTTACAAATACAGAAGATTCTGAGAAAAAAGAAAGGAATTTGAGAAGCATCAGACAGATGCCACGATTTCGCTGCTGAATTGCATCAGTAAATCTTGATATTTTTCTCTTTTCTTCTTTATCTTTTCTTAATGGATTTCTGACCCACAAATCATCTATCAAAGATAGGTCACAGTAACATGAATACCCTGTTGATGGCTATTGAAAACACCAGGTAGAAACCTAGCTATGGGAAATCCATATGAATGTTCATATGAATGGGGGACTTTCCATGGGAATGAGTTAAAAATCTACGTCCTATGTGGATTCCTATATAAGAAATCATGTGGTTTTTTTATGTAAGAAATGAATTGGACTCAAGCCGATACTGATTCAATATTCGAAAAACAATATTATTTACATTTAAAACTTATACATTTTATTCCTAACACGTTTGTAATAATTTTATCTGAAATTAACTATTAATTAGTTTTGAAAAACACACTTTATAAGATTCCTACATGCTACACTACTTCTTCAATTAATAAGTGTGTTATTTATTAATTATTGTCTATTTAAGTTATAACCAGCGTACACAATTATACAGAGTATCCTATAATTTGCAGTTCAAAATACTATAGCAAGAATATTTTCGAAAAATTAAATAAAAAAATTATAAAGGATGTATATTATACACAATATTATGTATTACATATTTTCATACACTATATTTTTCTATATATGAATTTTTAATATTCTATTTCCATGGAAACCATATATAGGACATTCAAAATTTGTTAAATCTACATGAAAATTTTCAATAAGGCATTCAAATGTTTACAATTTTAATTTAAGCTAATGAAGCTATAAATATTATGGCTATAACAAACATGTCTGAGCTCTAATGCCTATTCTCTACAATTGTGTAAGCGATTAAGCGTTTTTTTTAACTTCTCAATGAGCAAATGTTTAAAATCGATGCATAAGATAACTTTAAAAGATTTTCTGTAAAAAAGTTCTTTAAGAAACACTTTATAAAATATTTATTCATAAAAAATACTGAAAAATATCTTAAATCTTCGGTTATTATACAAGTTATTACTGTCAACCGAAAAAAACTAACAATAAGAAAAATTGCAGAGTGGATTAGAGAAATATTGTCATCCGTTATGTTGATTTCAAAAACTGAATCAATCTTATTGATCTCTATATATCAAAATCATCCATTTATGATAACATTGCAGTTTTTAAAGAAATCGATTATACTTGTTGACCTTAAACATGTAGGGTAACTGTCCCTATTAATGTGCCTTTTAGCTAATTTGCTTATTACTGAATTAGTTATAAAATATTGTAGCTTTAATTTTATCTACTTGCAATCAATATCAATTTTTCAAGTACTTCTTTTTGTCATAATATTTCTTTAATCTAAAGAATGTTAATACTTTATAATGCTTTTGACAAAAATAGAAAACGTGTTTTTATCCCTATTAATGAGTCTTCTAAGCGGCGATGCTCCCAATTTGTGTGTCTATCCACATTTGACTCATTTTAACATATAGTTACTAAAACTGATAATAATAATAAAGTTAAGCTAATTGTTTATGTTAATATTACATAAATCATTATTTCACTTACTTATTTCACTACATTATTTCACTTTATTTCAAAATACACTCATAACACAACGTTATCAGCTTCAATATAGGGCACATTAATAGGAACAAGCTTAAAATCTTGCGGTACGTATTACTGAATTCATACATAAATTCCTCATATCTTTCGAAAAATATTTAAAATATTTTAATGTTCAAAAAATAAAATATTATCTTTGTGCTAGTTTTCTTTATGACTTATCGAAATACAAAAACACACTACAGATACAGTAACTGGGTTATTCTATGATTCACAATTTTGAAATTCTCGAGATCTTTAAAATTGTCAATAGTACATGTTTAAGGTCAATATATAAAATCGATTTTTTTAAACTGTAATCACAAATGGATGATTTCGTAATAAGATCGTTGATTGTTCGATTTTTTAAAACAATATTATAATGGAAGGTACAGTACTTCTTTATTTTACGCTGCTTAATTTTTCTTATTGCATATTCTTCTTATCGTTAGTTTTTTTTCAGTTAACAGTAATAACTTGTACAATGATCATTTACGATATTATTATTTAACGTTAAAAATGATTTAATAATAAATCGATATGTTTATTTTTAATTATTGTATTTGATTTTATTATTAAAAATTTTCAATTGAGAACACATAAGAATCATCGTTGACTCGTTAGTCATTGATTTTACATATATTTTAAAGAAAATATTTTAAAGTTATCTATGCATCGATTTTAGACATTGTGCTCATTGGGTTATTGTTAAAGAAAAACTGTTCAATCACGAATCGAATATTCTCTGCTAGAATGAATTAAACTCATTAAATGGTTAACTCCGAAATTATACTGCAGGTATCTACAATTCCCTAGTTAATCGTTTTTGTAAGCCTTTGATGCTTCCCCAAAAAAATCCTCAATTCGATTAAATAAAACTGGTTTGCAATGAGATTTCTCCAATTTGCAGATCTATTAGAAACTACAGGTGCAGATAATCGAGTTGACGCTATCGAGTCTTATGTTATACAATCTATTCGATAATTGTGTACGTGGGAACGTTCTCCACATTTTCGCTCGCTCCAAAAAACGGATCCGGGAATTTGAGTCGGATTTTAACCTGGTGAAAAATACTCTGCGCGCTCGTTGTTTTAATTTGCGCGTCAACGCGGGGAATTAAAGGCCGCACAATAAACAATGACGTTATCGCGAGCGAGCGAGCGAGCGAGCGAGAGAGAGAGAGAGAGAGAGAGAGAGAGAGAGAGAGAGAGAGAGAGAGAGAGAGAGAGTGGGAGCAGGTCGGAGAGTACAGTGCCGCGATGTGGGACAGTTGTGATGAGAGCGAGTGCAGGGAGTTGAATTCGACGAGGACGACGACTGATCGCACGAGGCTCGAGATGTTCGAGCCCACGGAGCAGGGAAAGGTGAGCGGATGCTCCGTTTCTTTCTTCCGGAAGCGAAGGTCGCGAGGCCGACAGGGAATGATGCACCGCCGGGCATCGAGGAACATTCGTGCTTCTCGTACAATCGCCAGAGGATGACGTTCGTCGACGTGCACCCACCCACATATACGCATCGCGTGATTCATAAGCACGGGAAATTTGACGTTCCACTATGCGGCAACGGTGTCCTCGACCGATCGACCGTGATCGAGAATACCCGGTGTTCGATCGGGGCTCTTCAATGTTTTTTTGATTTGGACTTGGAGGTTAGGTGTCTCGCGGAGATCAACGCGCACGTCCCGCAATCCTCGGTCTCGCAGGAGAAATCGCGCGGGTGGTTTCATGTCAAAATTATGAATACAATTACTAATTTGACATTCTTTAGCTGTTTATAAATAGTACGTAATTTGTTGTTGATTATATATAGTGTTTTTAATTGCGACGCATTGGCACTTACATTCGCAGGCCTGCGATTTTATATTTAGAGATATAGTTACTTGGTGCTTTCCAGCGCGAGATATAGTATAACACAGTGATCATTCCATTCTTTGTTTAACATTAGAAAATAATAAGGAATAGTTGCTTTTCATTTTATACAAATGAGACTGAGTAAAAGTGACTATACAATCAATAATACTGATCTGTAATACTGATAGTACGCATATTTTTAGTATTTTTACAACTTTACAGGATCAATATTATTGATAATATATTTTATTTTACTTATCTATATTCTATTGTACTGTGACATCTTAATAAAGTGATATTAAATTTGAGAATCAAAATCCAGATTATTGTTGGTATTCTACATCAATTCGTCAATATTAATGACACATAATCAGTTATATTATAGTATTTGTTAATACTGACAGTATTATTGATCATATAGGACCATCTTAAAATTATATATTTTATACTCAAATAATGACATTACTATTTGCTTTGGTAACAAAGTTATCGCATGATAGCATAGATTTATTAAATCTTTTAACATGAATTAACAAAAGTTAATAAAGTATATGGTCTCCAAATTGTACAGGTTATAGTATTATAAAGATAAAAGCTCAATTGAATCTTCTCAGAATAAAAAGGATCATGCATTCAACTGAATTATGATGGCACAAATGAAAATTATCAGAGTTTTGTAAATAGAAAGCAACGAATGATTTACGGTGTTATCTGTGTCTTTTGTTGGAAAGTATGTTATCTCCCGCGAATTGTTGATCCGTTATTATTTCTGTTGATAGGATCTTTGCATCCATACGGGCGTTGTGCTTCGTGGAGCGAATGCCAGAGAAGATGAGGTTCACAGTTCAGGAACGCTTAATATTGTGGAATATGTAAGATTCTGTTATTGGATTAATATTATGCATATATGGAGAGATTTGTCATAAGGTGCTTGTTTTATTTTTGCAGAGTTTTGGCAAGTGCATAGAATGGAAACCAGTAGAAGATTCCGTGGTATCGGAATGCCAAGATCAAGATCCAGAATGGTCCCTAGTGGATACTCATACGAGGAGGACTCGCACGAACTCAGAGGGTCCAGACTCTCTTGGACGTACGAGAACCGTTAAAATATTATTTTCTGATCTAAAGTCATTTCGCGTGAATCATGGCGGACAACAACTCATATTTATGCAGAGGGATGGTACCACCTATGTTGCCTTCTTTCAGCTGGCTAACGCTGAAAGTTTCATTAATTCGTTAAAAGGATTTATCAAATTTGTAAAATCACGCTCGGATAAGAATTTATATCTGGTGATGGATGAAGTTGAAACTGTCTTGAAGAAATCTTTTGCTGAATTGGATCTGTTTCAAGAAAACACTTCTGATTACGTGTGGAAGTTTGTAAAAAACTTACACAATCGTCCTTATGAAACAACAATGGAGGCATTCAGCAAACTTGCAGATATCTGGTGTAAGCGGATATATTAATGATCTTCAATCAATACATTTATAATTCAGTGTGTTTGTGAATATAAACACAATGATATCATATTGTTTATTAATGTTACAGTATATAAAGAGCCAGTGAAGCGACCTGTTGAGGAAGCGGTAGCCGATTTATTAAACCAGTCTCTTACGATCGATCCTCATCCACGTGTATCTGTATCTATAGGATCTGGAGAAGAATATGAAGTAATTGGAGTCGGAGTGGACCTACCTCCACGACCACCGTGTCCGCGCGGTAATACATTAATATATAAATTAAAAAATTATTCTATAGAAAATATAAACTACATAAGATAGTTACACATATATATGTATATACAAAAAATGTATTTAATTGTATATTTATTTTATGCTTAATAATTTTATGCTTAAATAAAAATTACAATTCCATTAGGTGCGCCGTTAACACAAGAACAATGGGAAAAATGTAAAGATCGAGAAGGAAGAATCACTGATCCTGAGGCCATCAAAGAAATTATCTTTCGGGGGGTATGTATCTAAATATTTTTCTAGCAATAATATTAGTATTCTTTATATAATGTATAATGTAGTTTTTGAATATATTTGTAATAATTTATTAGGGTATTTGTCCATCATTACGTTTTGAAGTATGGAAATTTTTATTAAATTATTACCCATGGAAATCGACGCATAATGAAAGATTAGAACTTAAGAGAAAAAAGACTGACGAATATTTTACGATGAAATTGCAATGGCGTACATTTACGACTGCGCAAGAAAGCCGTTTTTCTGATTATAGAGAACGAAAAAGTTTGATAGGTAATTAAAACAAAATTGTTATTTTTATAAAAATATATAACTATTCTTTTTATATTAATTTTTGTAAGAATAACTTATTCTTAACTGTGCTTTTATGTTGAATGAAAATCAAGTTTTTTAATGTCATTCCAGAGAAGGATGTTAACAGAACAGACAGAACACATCCTTATTATGCAGGGGATAATAATCCACACTTGGAACAATTATACGATATACTCATGACCTACATAATGTACAATTTCGATTTAGGATATGTTCAGGGTATGAGCGATCTTCTTAGTCCAATTTTATTTTTAATGGATAATGAAGTAGATGCGTTTTGGTGTTTCGTTGGATTCATGGATAAAGTAGTAAGTATGATGTTCTCTCTCTGCGTAATAATAATTATATTAATACCTATAAGTAACCTTTTTTTCTTTTAAAATAGAGTACTAATTTCGAGATGGATCAGAAAGGCATGAAAGGTCAATTATGCCAATTATACACGTTACTGTGCACTACGGAACCGCAATTAGCATATTATCTAAATAGACATGATTCTGGTAACATGTTCTTTTGCTTTCGATGGTTGTTAGTATTATTCAAGCGAGAATTTAGCGCGATCGATATATTAAAATTATGGGAGATATTATGGACCGATCTACCCTGTAAAAACTTTCATTTGTTAATATGCGCGGCTATTTTGGACACAGAGAAAAATATTTTAATAGAAAACAATTACGGATTTACGGAAATTTTGAAGGTAAAACGTTTTCCTGGTATAACAGCAACATAAATTTATCCATATCTATCATGTTACTATTGTTTACAGCACATAAATGATTTGTCACTTCATATCGAATTGCCTTGGACAATTTCTAAGGCAGAAGGTATTTATTATCAGCTGATGTCCGTGGAACATCAGATTCCTGATGACATACGTGTAATTATCGGATTGGAGCCATTGCATAAGTCGTTGCCGATGAATGGAAGCGATGACGAAGCATCTAGTAATAATACCCGAGCCAATGGTCCTCATAATAATTCGAGACGAAATAGCACAGGTAGCGCCAATGTTAAATTAGGAGACGATGAAGTGTCGTTTGAACGCGGATTGAATCTGTCGTATATGTGAGGTCAGGACTGGATCTTTACAATCATTCACTAACAGAAAGCTGATTGAAAGTCTACACGAACAGAGAATAAAATAATTGTTTCAGTTTTCGTAATCGAGGATTTACACTTATCTTATGATTTGTTTGAAAATGTAACTGATTTTAAACATGTTATTGACAATAATTTTCATGCAGCTTTCAACGAAATTAAATCGATGCTTTGAAACATAAATATATGTTTGATAAGAAGCATGTTCCTAAACATATGTTTCAGATTTTTTTTTAATTGGATGATAGATATAATTCTTTTCTTTGTTTTGAACGTCGTGATTGATCGTGATCGAGATTCAAATTCTAAACAATAGAATATGAATGTAATGAATACGTTTTGAGAAGTAACTGTAATGGTAGTGTTGAATTTTGAGATATTTATAACACTTACTGTGTGTACAAAGACGAAAGAATGAGATTATAATTGATGCTTGTGTAAAAACATGCACATATTTTAGTGCGTAGAAGAATTCACGATGATTGTTATGCGCGAATGCGCGGAAAACGGATTAAAGATAACATCTTTAGATTTCGATAAGTGTTATATACGCGTAACTTTCACCTAAGTTACAGTCTCTTTTCTAGATTTGTATAAAGCTTACTGTACATTTCTAATAAAAATCACCTATTTAATCTTTCATATATATCCTCGATGTGTAGTTTTCTCCCTTCTATTATGCCCATTTTTACAAATGTAACTTAACTTTAATTTTGATTCAACTTATTCTTAATCTTTTTTGAATTCTTAGAACTAAACACAGACTTTTATAAGAAATCTATGGAACTAGAAAAAGATGAAGAGTTATGTCAAATTAAAATTAAAATTAGATCACATTGGTAGAAACAGAATATTGTTCACTTTGTCTAAAATAATTTAAAAGATCGAAAGATTAATAAAAGATACGCTTTAATAAATAAATATTAACTTATTAATATGTGTATGTAACATTCTTCATTCTGCAGGATTTTTTATGCTTCCTTTGTGACTCTTCTACTTTTATTGAATTTTGTTTATTGATATTTAGCCTTGAAATGCAATTAATTAATTGTGTATAGAAATTGGAAATGTAACATAGTATTAAATTAATAATTAGTTTAATATATTATTAATAAGCATTGCAATTTATTATTAATTGATAGGAGAAAATGCATAGAGAAACGTTTCATTATATTATTCAGCCTTAAAATGCAATTTATTAATTATTTTAAAAAAGCTGGGGATTAATATATTATTAAATTAATAATTTAATATGTTACTAATAAGCATTATAATTTATTATTAATTGATAGGAAAAAATACACAGAGAAATCAAAGACATCAATTCTTTCAATACGTACATTTTTCAACAAATACATTTTTAATTTTACGGGATTTATTTATTTATAGAATTTATTTATATAGAAGTTCCAAGAGCAAAGGAGACATTGTCAAATTCCATTCATGTTCAGGTTCCGTCGCTTCATGGCGTTCGTGCACGGAAACGTAAACAATGACGTATAGCTGTTAGTTGTACTCAGTTGACCTTTCGTAACAAAGAAAATTCGATCGAACATGGAATTGACGGAATGTGCCATTGCGAAACGACGAAAGAAGTGGAAGAGGAAGCGACGCTTGAAGCGCTTGAAAAAACGGCTGCGCGAGCGAGAGGTTATGTTTAATGCGAGTCATTGGACGGCCTTCCCCGAGTATGTCACGGATGCACGAGAGACGCTAGCGACGGGCACGATGCAAGCCGACGCTTTCTGGAAGAATTATGCCGTCGCTCAGGAATGGCAGAAACGGTAGGTTCACAAGTTAAATCAATGGTAAAATCAAAGAGAAGATCATTAAAGGAATCTCGTTGGTTTTCAGACATAGCATAACCTGGTGGAGGTCACGTTGCATCGCCCTGGAGCATGAAAATAAACTGCTGCGCGACAAAGTGAGATCTCTGGCTCAGCGTCGTGGCTATCGTGGCTTTTGGGAGAATTATAATTATCGTGCGGATAATGACAATGACGATGTTCAGGAAGATAACGACACGGAATCGGATACAAATGAGGATCTGGAATTCAACGTGACCGAGGATTTGTTGAACTTTTTCGAGACAAGCGAAAGGCATAAGCGAGAGATGCGGTTAAAACGCGAATGTAGTGAGACAGAGTATGAGGAAGAAAATTTAAAGGAGGAATCCTTTGGCGCTGCCGAGAGCACTCAGGTGAAAAAAGAGGCTGATTTGCTGCAGGACGATGCCGGCTTTGAGGTATTGCCGATGGAAACCGCTCCACAAAGCACAATAGAGCAATACGAGGATACAACAAATTGATAATATTAGCCCAACATTTCCGTGAAATCTTAGGTTTAGCTCTAATCTTCTTCTTTTTCTCCTGGATGGCTTTCCAACCTCTCCAATGAAGGTCAAAGTGCCAAGATGTTATATTGATCTGTAGATCAAGTCTAAGCCTCTTTGGGGAGCAGACTCGATTTAATTGCTTATCCAATAAAATTAGTTATAATCTAATGAGCTATGAAATGTATTCCCTGTTTAATGTTTAATGTTTAATATATTCTAAAAATATCTTGAAAAATAAAAATTATTTTCTTTTATAGTTGAAAAATAGCATTATTGAAACGTCAATTGCCTTCCGTTTTGCAATTGCGCTTCAAATCCAACATGCTTCGGTTAATATGAGAGATCACTGGTAGATGACGCCATCTCAACGTTTTTATGATTTTTACTTATCGCTCTGTAACTATAGATGGAATTACTAGGATTAAAATCGAGGCTTCTTTCTTCAATATTAATAATAAGGAAGGTATATATTTATTTATGTTAAAATATATTTTATGCAGTAGAAATAATGATGCATAACTTCAAAGAAGAATAAGATTGTATGGGGTTGTTCCCATGTGTTGTTATATGATTAAATTAATTAATAAAAAGTTAATAAAAAGTTCGTACATATTACGTGTTATTTTTATAACTGATATATCAATTAAAAGTAATATTTAACTGATATACTATACTTTTAACTGATATATACATTAAAAATAATACATTTTATATATACATGGGATTAAAATATATATAATTATCTGGTAAATAAATTAAAAGTAACGTATATATTATAATTTCACATTCAACGATGTATATATAATACATATATTGCCAAGTGTAAAATTATAATATTCATGTTAAGTTACTTTAAGTTGATATTACTTTTAGTTAATATTTCTTGGGTATTTTAAAAAAAAGGATTTTCTGATAAGATATTAGCTATTTTATTCTTTGTATCTTGATTTATTAAATTTATAAATTGTAAAAAATATAATACGTATTCTAATGTTGAACTTGGCAGCTTAATATTGTTCGAATGATCGCTGTCTCCCTTCTCAAAACAGAAAAATCTCAATCGCAAAATCGGATTTGTACGTAGTTTATAAGATCCTTCTGAGTTATAAACACATACATACATGGTAAACTCGTGAAGGCCCGCAGTGCAAGACAACCAATTGCGCCAGAGGCAATATCAAGTTGTTTCTCTCGCGCGGCAACGTAGCGCAGCCATAAATGACACCCATCATATGAAATACACCGAGGGGGAAGCAATTAATAGCTAATCTAAACGACGGAGCAATTACATTCACATATTATTATTACTTGGATCAGAAATAATCGATCAGCACTCTGTCGCGGTGTGAAAAACGTTATGGCCTCGCGACGTGCGATTATGCGTTTATGCACGCGCGCGTATGAGACTTTAAAAAAAAAAAAAATGAAGAGAAGCGAAAATGTGCAACAAACGTGAAAAAGTTTGATGTGGATCCAATGTGAAGACAGATGTTTTACTATCTGTTAATTCTGTTGCGAATATATACGTGCAAAATGCAGCGTTTTAATGTTTTCTAGAATATCGATGACTACATTTGATTAGTAAAACAAGCAACTTTTCAACTGTTGTAAGAGTCTTCAATATGATCTAGATCCAATGAGAAACTAAAGTTAATTCCTCACAAAGTGCAGGAAGTATTAAAGGCCAGTGATGAGTATTGAAGAATTTTACAATAGTTGCAAAGTTGCTTTTTCTGTTTGGGTCCTCATTGGAACAGCATATTCCGTATATTTACTTGGTTTGTTTAATAATCCAGTTATCATAAGGACAGATTCTATTAAACAATATGATGTAACGTGCCTGTTAGTGTTCTTACTTAACAATATAACTCAATAATATAATTAAATATAATACTCATGTTATATTATACCACTCAACAATATATAATATAACAACATGTTATATCACTCAACAATAATATAATTATAATATATAAAAATAGAGAGACAAAGACTTTACAAATTAAAACTAGTAAATAATAAAAAGCATTTAAGCCCACGCAAGATCTTTTGCAGAAAATCTATTTAATCCGTTATATATAAAAATTATAACAATACATGTGCTATATTACAATTGCATATTATTGCTGAATGGGATATTACAATTAACTAACAGATACGTGTAATAGATAGGTGTTTATTGAGACGTCAGGTAGATACGTTCATCGTAATAATTTCAAAGATCTCTAGGATACTGTTGACGCAGCTTTAAAGGATCTTCCGAAAGAAAATCCAAGAGAAAATCAGTCTATTAGTATCGCATTCTGAAGGATGCATTCGGATGCAGCTGGATTGGGCCTGCAATTCTGTCGAGTCGTCCACGTGTGGAACCGCTCTCGGGCTCGGGGCTGAAGAGTTGTCCATGAGGACGCTATGCCTCTGTAACTCAATTACCGCGCATTGTGTTCGTGCCTGTGGGTACCACGCGACGCACACGATTTACCGTGTGCACGATGACAACAACGATGACGGCAACGGCAACGACGACGCGAAGGTGCAGCGCAACCAACTTGCCCACGGTACGGATCAAGGCCATAACTCCTGCGTATGCGGAGTAAAGTAGTTGATATCACGTATTCAGAATCCCGTAGTCAAGGTCTTCAAGCCTCCTTTGTCACTGATTGAACATGCCGTCGCTAGCATTTCAGGACTTAGATGAATGTACGACGAGAATTAAAACGCAAACGCAGCGAAGATATAGATCCATTCCGCTAAAGTCGCGTTAAGGGCTGTGATACACAAAAGATTAAGCAGTAAAACGTAAACTGTAAGCAAATTGGCCAATCACAGTAGAGACCGTAAGGCTATAATGTAAGCAGCGAATCCAACATGTTGATTTCCTTACTGCTTACATCTTACTGCTCAAGTTCTTCTGTGCCATGACTCTAAAACTGCTGATCACTCATGGATCACATAATGAAAGTTCTTGCAAAATATATTTTTAAAGAAACATTTTTCAATAAAATAATTTTTGCATTTGACAGTGCACATTTAAGAAATATAAGAACACATTTTTTATTTTTAATAAAATTATACCTATCTTCAACTGTCATATGTATACTTAGCTGTTATAATATATTTGTTTCGTGATTTTCTGATTAGACACAATTCAATTTCAAATATATTTATTGATTGCCGGAATATAAGAGAATATTTTTCAATATATTTTATTATAATCTATTCTATCAATTGCAAATGTTTTATTAAAAAATACATTATTTGTAATTTATTTATATAATTTATTTATATAATTTGCAAGAATTTTCTTTATGTATTTTTTTCGTTTCTAACATCACAATTCAAGATAGCTGCAGTGAGTAACTTTGAAATAATTGTACCGTTTTATTTTTCTTCTCATTAAAAATGGTCGATCATAAATTTAGTTATCTCATTGGAAAAAGCACCATGCCAGAAACATTTTCTGATTTATATCTTAATCAATTGTAAGTCATTGTCATAGAAACCCTAACAGCACAGACCTCCTCCAAGACGTCATGAGGACGTCCAAAAGACGTCCATATGTTCTTTGAACATCCCAAGGACATTCTCAGTATGTATCCCGGAGAAAATGTGTTATTAGAGAAGTTTCTTGAACGAAATGTTTCGATAAAGAACATCCTGTCGTCAGATAATTCAAGGAAACAAGAGGTGGCTCTGTGATATGTCGAAAATAGATTAGAGCAGAACATGAAGGAAGTTTTGGTCGAATGGTCCAGACGTTATCTATAGACCGAACCCGCGAACAAGATCCAAATTCTCGGACCAGTTCGTAAGACGACATCGATATCTTCGTCCGAGAAAAAGTTTCCTAATTATCGAAATAATGCGTGTCGTGGTGCCTGACATCCCGACACTTACGTGTTAGATCGAGGTCTATTTTTTCTACACTTTCACGAGAGCTCAAGAATTCCGCACTCCTTTGGATCTAAATTATTTCGTTTCCACTTCACAAAGACAAACGCGAGGGAAATTAAAATCGTTCTCACTGTTAATCCCAAATAGGAGGATAAGCCAGAGATGTTCTAATTGAGACCTAATAGATTTGAAAGTAACAATGCGTTGAGAATCATCAATTTCATTAACGATAAAATCAACGATCATTATTTGCAATAATTGCATGGCTGCAAATGTTCTATAGTAATATATTGTTCTATATGTAATACATGAAAGGAAGAGGGGAACGTAGGAAACAAGATTTGTTAAAACAACTAAAAATTTCACTGATTTATGAATCTATAGTCGTAATATACAGACAGCTAGTTTTCTATATTAAAATAGTACAACTGAATAAAATTAACGATTATAAGTAATCATATTTGTTGTAATAGCATAGCAAATTTGTTAATGCAGCAAAAACTTTCTATGAAAATCAATCCAATATATAGATCAAAATTTTGAACAAAACACGCAAGCTAAGATGGCGTACTCTTGCTTTAATGAAGGAAACTTATTACATTAGCAATTTTTATCGTAACAAAGAATTAACTGAATTAGCATACTGATAATTGTTTACAGACACGATTTCTTTGTTAAACTATTTCAAATCTTTTTAATTATAGATGAACTCAACAAGCTATAACTTTGTTGAACAACTTAATTTATTTTTTTCCTCTTTTGAATCTGTTTTATGTGAATACATCACGGAAAAAAAATACAGCTGAAAACTTTAGCAAATCTACAGTCGAAATATACAGTACAATTTTTCTATATTAAAGTAGCAAAGTTGACAGCTGAATAACATTAGTAATTTGTTAAACCATCAAATCTTCCTAGTTATAGATTGAATTCGTGCAGTAAGTTATAGGTTTGCTGTACCACCCAATTACTTTTTTTTCCGTATATGATGTAGGTATGCCTAGCTGAACTAAATTATTTATTTTCATTCGAGAGCTCTGACTTATAGATGGCAAGTTCCCAATCAGTGTAGTAACATGCGAAACGTTCTTCCTCTCTTTTCTCCGGTAAACCGGTCGGTCCTACGCAAAGTAGTTGCTCTCTGGAGAGTCATTTTATATTCCCTCCGCGACTTTCATTTAGATCTTTATCGATCAACTTTCACGGTGTGCTCCGCGCATTGCACTTCATTAAATTTGCTTCCGACCTCTACGGGCTTTCGCGCGTACAACATCGGAGGACTTGTACATTAAATTCGCTTTTCACTCCGTTATATCGATGAGAATCATTACGGAGCTTTCACAAATTGCAGTAAGTATCAATCAATCGCTAACAAACTTGATAGCGATGCGCCGTTAAATTGTGCCCGCTACAACTAGTTACGAGTTTTTTAGGAATCGACAATGAGAAACTTTAAGCGTGTTGGAAAGCCAGACAATAATGTTATGTAAAGAACAAGTAATAGAGAAATGTTAACTCGCGAACACACGTTCGAACTCACTTAGGCATCGTACACGATTAGCAATTATTGTCCATTATTCACGTGAGTAAGAGTCTTACAAAGTCGCGCATTTTTACGCTAATGTATTTTTTCAAGACGCGCCCATGTTTTCTTGCTAAATCCATCCAATAGATGTAAAAAGTGTCACGTTGGCACTGCCGAGTGTACACTCTTGCAGTTACAGGCTTTCAAAGCAATTTGTCTTCAATTATCGAGAGACACGCTCTCGGAATGGAAACGGACGAAAAAATGTCGAGAAGTGCTCGGGATCTCTCAACCCCGTCAATTCTCAGAGATTACACACAGACTTCTGGGATTTCTTCCCTTCCACTCCGCAGTTTTGTCTTCCCTTCATCATGTCTCGGAATTCTGCCATTGCATTCGCAACCGCAATGCTTGAAGGACCACCTTCCGTATCAAAATGGCGTCGTTATCGAACAAGAATGAACAGAAAAAAATGTAATTGAATAATTTTTACCTTTATACAAGACTAGCAAAAAATATTCTGGCTTCTTTGCTGAATACAAACTTTACTTGTCTGAGAATAAAAATACAGGAGGTGTAAAATAAAAAGTACCTTACAATTATAGTAAATTCATTCAAGATTTTACCTTACAATAAAATAAATTATATTAACTGTAAGTATAAACAATTCTCAACATTTACTTCATGAAATATAACAAGTACCTTCATAGAAAAAAATGTTTGATTGAATTAATTAAAATTTTTGGTGGAAATTTGGAAAATGAACAATCCAGAATTCTAGTTAAATCTACAAGATTTCTGGTAAAATCTATTAAAATTTTAGTTGAAATAACCAACATTCAATAGATTTAACTAGAAATCTATAGATTTAAGCAAAATTCTTGATGGTTTATTTTCCACTAGAATTCTAGTTAATTCAACCAAACATTTTTTTCTCTTTACAGTATGATTATACGATAATCGCTTTATTAGAATAGTAAAGTAAACTTTACATAAGCACCTGTCTCTATATAGCATGGATCTGCTATTCCATGGATTCCATAAAATTTACTAGAACTCTAGCGCATATTATTTGACATATTTCTTCAAAACGGAGAGGGAGGGTGCATATGCTTTTGCTTTTTATCGGATCTGTATCATTAGCAGTTGCAATAAATTCTACGAATTTGTATGGGGGATATCCGCGTCGAGAGTGGAGTCCGCGAGTCGTTGAAAAGGACAACAAGAACGAGGACGTAGAGTCACCTACGATCTTGCCTTATTAAGCTCCCTCCCTCCCTGTCCTTTCGTCCTGTCCTTCTCTCCCACTCTACCACACTGTGCAGCACTTAAAATCATGGCTGCACGTAACCGTCTACTGATTATATGGATTCGGCGATGATTTCTGATGATGCCCCCGACCCCCGAAATGGTAAAATAATACAGTGTCGTGTCCTAGCCCGGACCCTTTGGGTTCCGTGGGCTGGTTCGTTAGCGGAGCCTTGGCGCGAGGCACCCTGTTATTATGCGGCTGGTCCCCATCACCCCCACCAGTACCCAATTTTCGGTGCCCCTCCAGTGCGCGAGCTCGACAAATCCCCTTGGCATCGCTGCCCGTAGTTGCTTTCCTTTCTTTTTCTACCGCGCGCGCAGTCTCCTACTCTCTTCGGCTCGCCGGGGGCTCCAATTCTCTTCCACCGAGTGCTACTATTCTACACTGTCGTTTCGCGACGTCGTCGCCCGTTTGTTTACGCTGCGAGTCGCGTGAATCGTCATCGTGAGAAAATATCTCCGTGTACTTTCTGCCGCACGACGCACATTATATGTCCACGGTTGTTAACTCTTTTGAAGGACTGAAATAGAAAGATCTCCTCGAAATGTCACGAAACTTGACGAAAAAATGTATTTATGACGTCCATAAATGCTCTTTATCTTTTTGAATCGTGTCTTTGTAAAATGGAATATTTTGTATACCATGTCCATTTACGGGAATGTTCATGATTGCCTCCTTACCGTGGAATAATTGTTTAACGAATATGGACCATATTCTTCATATAAAGTAACGGAATAACGAAAATTAAGGAAATTAAGCGATATTTATATTATTGATTTTAATTTAAGGAAATATTACATATTTTTTAATAAAATTAAAAAATTATTAAAAAATTGCAGATTTTTGTGTATTGTATGTATCTGGAAGTACTATAAAAAATTTTATAGTGTGATTTAAAATCTATTAAGAAAAATTATTTCAATAAGAAG